ATGAAAAGGGAATAATACTTCATTTCAATAACTTTTCTAATACAGATACATGTACTTATGTTGTGTAGAAAGTTTCAGTTGCTCAAAAATTAAAGCCCCTGTACTAATCAACTACTGTATCTTTATAGATGCCTAGTTCCTACAGCTGCATTTAAGCATAAAATTTTTTATAATACATAAAAATTAAATTAAATGCCGAATTCCGACAGGGCTAGCAACAACCACAGCTGCAACAACTGTTTTATTATGCATCAAAAAAATTGTATTCAATAAAGATAAACTAAATGTATCACTACACAACAAAACTGAAGACATATCTAATGACATTATGACATGTTATTCTTAATGTATTATTGTTCAATATCATGCACTCAATGAATATATATCTCAATAATATCAATTGGAGTAGCTTCATTAACAAATCCCTCACTGCTACACAACCTCAGCTCAATATCATCAGTAACTGACTGAGGTAAGGTTTTAATAAACCAGGGGATTGTAGAACTGGAGCAACAAGGAGACTCAAGATAATCACATTGCTGACCATCCCACATTATGTCATTGGGATAAAATTTATTACGCAGGATATTTAAGGTTGTTGCTCCTGATTCACAGTAGTAATCATCGCCAACATATGATAGTGTAGTAGCTGTTGTACCAGTATTACAGGGACATGAATATGCTGATGTCTCATCTGCAGTAACTCCAACAGCATAAGTCCAGATATGTTGACGTGGATTGCTTCCATGAGTAATTGATAAACCATCAACATAAGCACCATCAATGTTTGGAGAGCCTCCATAAACACCATCAGTAGTTCCAAGCTGATATCCTCTGGCCTGTCCACAGACTTTAGTATAGTTCAATCCAGTGGCTGAAAAGAATGTTGCACTACATCCATATCCTAAATCATGAGATTTATCACATAGTGTTTTGCCTCCATATGTGTAGTTGTAGAGACCTTGAGGACAGGTAGCACCAGGTTCTGTCATGTTAATGTACCCTATTCTCATCCAGCCACCATTACCATCACAGTTACTACCCTCCATATCACAGTACACACTAACAATACTCCCATTACTTTGACTGATGTTATAATAGCCTGATGCTGCATTGGGAATGTTCTCTAATGCTTCACTGCAAGAATAAAATTTGATTAATCCTAATGAGTAACATAAAGCCTTTGGTAGACCAGCAGTTGGACACAGGATATATTTGTTGGAATTATTTTCTCTCGATTTGATTCTTTTTCCATTATTAGCAGATAAGCAGCAGTACTGGTGATAGAGGGAAGGAGTATGATAGCCAGTAGTACAGTGATCCATACCTGATGAGGCATTAGCTTCATACAATAGGACAATGAAGGAGAGAAGAAAAATAAAGTAATGTGAAGACATTCTTGTCAAACTATAGCAAGTTATTTGTACATCAGTTATAAATAATGTAGGCTGGACACGGAACATAAAGCACTACTTCTGGGAATTTGCTCAACAACATACAAAAACTCCTCCGTAACAAGGTATACGCATGATGTCAATTCTGAATATTAGTCAAAGGAAATTATTAAGAATAGTAAACTATACTATTTTATATGTACATCCATATTTGTCTATCAAGGTCTATACATAGATAGTGAAAGTGGTAGGTAGTTAATCTCAAAAAATGAGTAGCATAAAGCCTTTGGTAGACCAGTAGTTGGACTGAAAATATATGTGTAAGAATTACTTTCATTCATTTTAAAAGCTTTTCTATTATTAGCAGATAAGCAGCAGTACTGGTGATAGAGGGAAGAAGTATGATAGCCAGTAGTACAGTGACCCATACCTGATGAGGCATTAGCTTCATACAATAGGACAACGAAGGAGAGAAGAAAAGTAAAGTAACAAGAAGACATTTTCGTTTTACTAAAGCCAACAGGACAAGTCATTAGTATGGCCATGATAATGGACATTGAAATATAAATGGAAATTTGCCAACAACATATACAAAAAATTTCTGACATGCAAAAAAGCAATGTATTAATGTAAACAATGACTATTTCAGATGTACTCCAACATCTGTCAATCTAAATTTCTAAATTTTTCAGTGATCAACAGTTTTCAAAAACTTCATAAACTCGAATTTAGTTCCTGAAGTTTTTAAATTATTTTCCTCATAAGAATTGGCTTGTGAAGAAGATGCAGACAAAAGAAAAAAGAAAAGTAAAGTATCATGAAGACATTCATGAACAAGCTAGATTTCAGTCAGTTGGATTAAACTGAAACAGGAAAAGCACTAATTGCTGTAATTTTTAAAAGTGATGTACATTCAATTCATGTTTTCATTATATGTAGTGCTGATGTATATAATAGTGACATGAAGCTTGTTTCAACACATTTAAGATCTACTTTTAAATAAAGCTATTTTGATTTTCTCTTTTTGAACGAAACTTGTAAGCCTTAATTGATGCGGAGTAAGCCTGACTGAGTGACTGCAAAGATTGCAAAGCTTTCAACTTTTTAATGCACTTTCATTTTTGTAATTTGCACTGCTCTTTTTTTATTCTGCCTACTCAACTTTTGGTATTTTGCATTGCTTTGCTTGGCAATGCTTGGTATTTTGCCTAAAATGAAAAGGGGATAATGCTTCATTTCAATAATTTTTTCTGATACAGGAACATGTGCTTATGTTGTATAGAAAGTTTAAGCTGATTTTGATCAAATTTGAGTTGCTCAAAAATTGGATCAAAGCCCTGTACTAATCAACTACTGTATCTTCATAGATGCCTAGTTCCTACAGCTGCATTTAATCTTCCGAGCATGAAAAATGTTTATAATTGATAGAAATTCAATTTAATGACAAATTCCCACAGCGCTAGCTACAACCACAGCTGCAACAACTGTTTTATCTTGCATGAAAATAATTTGTATTTTATAAAAATAAGCTACAAGTATCCCTACACAACAAAACTGAAGACATCTAATGACATTATGACATGTTATTTTTAATGTATTATTGTTCAATATCATGCACTCATCGAATATATATCTCAGTCATATCAATTGGAGTAGCTTCATTAACAAATCCCTCACTGCTACACATCCTTAGCTCAATATCATCAGTAACTGACTGAGGTAAGGTTTTAATAAACCAGGGGATTGTAGAATTGGAGCAACAAGGAGACTCAAAAAAAATCACATTGCTGACCATCCCACATTATGTCATCAGGATAAAATTTATTACGCAGGATATTTGAGGTTGTTGCTCCTGATTCACAGTAGTAATCATCACCAACATATGAAAGTGTAGTAGCTGTTGTCCCAGTATTACAGGGACATGAATATGCTGATGTCTCATTTGAAGCAATTCCAACAGCATAAGTCCAGATATG